CGCTTCTAATAAAGGCCGTTTCACACGGCAGGAGCCTGCAGAATGTGACAAAATTGTAAGCTAAAACTCTCAATTCCGAGAATAATTTTATGTATTTTCCAGAAAAAAAATTCCTAGAGAAAACTAAGAATTTCTTTGTAAATAAAGGCAGACATTTTCGCTACCTAAATTAAGATTTTCTGACCTTGTAAGGTCAGAAAATGTTGAACAAATACTTTTAAATTTATGAGGAAAAGTTTAGTTTAGAAAGCAAAAATGTCTGCCTTTTAAGAAATTCTTAGTAATTTTTAATACCTAACGGTCACTTCATTTGCTAGAAAAAACTGAGTCTTGAAAAGGTAATTAAACAAACTTCAAGATTCCTGCATATACCGTGATTCAGTCATTAACTTCAAGTTCTATGATAAATCAATAGGAGACTTGAATACAATGTTTTCCAATAAATTATGATTGTGATTAGGGCTGCGTTGTCTATGTATCACTTTTACATAAGTAGGTTGAAGAACTGTATTGTTAAAACTTCAGAAATAATTTATCTTTAGATCTGTTTTTGAGAGCATGTTCATTTCTGTGTATTTTGCTCAAGCACTGATCAAACTTTTGAAACTTAGTCCATTTTTTCCTGCAGAGGGGATCCTGCTAGACCAAAGTGAACTCCTGATCGACATTGAAGTCTTCCTGCAGAGCTTGTATCTTCGACACCATGCCATTAGAAACTCCATATAGTGCTTTCCTTCACCAAGGCAGGACCCAGTGACTCATTACTGTTGATCGGTCAGGGGCAGGTAATTTTGTGTTTCATGTGTATTTATTCCTCCACAGATTACTAGCCATGATATATGAACACATGTTGTATTCTCAAGATCTATGCTGTGGGAAGGAATAGAATAAATGTTTATTTTTTCTTCAAATGCTATGTCAATTTTTCTCATTGTTTATCAGTAGTTTTCACCAACTTATTTGAGCATCTTAATATTTTTCTATATTTAATGGTTGCAAATGTTAAAAGTAAAGTAAAATTTTTTTATTTTCTCATTGTACTGTCAAATGTACGGTAAAATACAGGCAGCTGTGGTTGCCAGGAATTTACCGTAAAATGAATTAAGTCAAAATAAAATGCTGTAATTTCTTATACAGTTTCACTGTGTTTTTATTGTCAAAGGTTTTAATAAGGTTTGCCATATTTTTATTTTTACAGTAATTTGCCATAATAAGGTTTATCATATTACTGTTAAATTAACAACAAATCAATGTAAATATTAATATAACTTTTTTTAACTGTAAAAATCCGTAAAAAGCTATGTAAAGTTGCATTTTTTACATGAAATTACTGTATAATTGACAAATATATTAGGTTTTTTTCCTACCATGATTTTGTTAAAAAAACATTGTCTACTGTAAAATTTAGGATTACAAAACCAGTATACCATATTTTCATTAACAGATTACAATTTTTTTTTCACGGTACATTCCTGGCAACCACAGCTGCCGGTATTTTACCGTAAACTTGACAGTTTTATTTTACAGTGTAGTTTGTGACTTGTGAAACCTTTATTTGATGTGTTACAGTTGAAAAAATGCATGTTTCATCTGGTCTACCTTAGATCTGGTCCAGCTCAAAACTACAGCACTTAAGACTCTTCAAACCTGGACTAGAATATTTCACAATAACAGCAAAATCCATAAGACAGGTTGTAAATTGGGAAATCTTTAGTAGATGCTATCAGCTTCAGACCCGTCTCTAAACTTCCGTTAATCTCCAAGATCTTGGAAAAGGTTGTGGCTAAACAACTCACAGCTGCTCTTGATGAACATAACATCTATGATAGTTTCCAGTCAGGTTTTTGTAGAGCTCATTCTACTGAAACAGCCCTTCTTAGGGTCTAATGACCTTCTGATCCACAGTGATGCAGGGGACTGTTCTGTTCTGGTCCTGCTGGACCTGACTGCAGCCTTTGACACTGTTGACCATCACCTGCTACTGGAGAGGCTGAGTCAGCCTATCGGGATCTGTCCAGGAGTGGTTCTCCTCATATCTGTCTGAGCGTTCCTTCTCTGTGGCTCTCCAAGTTTAGGTCTTCTACCACTTCCCTCACCCATGGAGTCCCACAAGGCTCTGTGCTGGGGCATCTACTCTTCCTCCTCTATCTGCTTCCTCTTCAGCACTTCCTGAGCTCCTTTAAAGAAATCTCCTACCATCTTTATGCAGATGACATCCAACTGTACATCTCCTTTAAGCCCCATGAGATGTCTAAGCTGCAGCTGTTCCACACCTGGTTAGACTCTATTAAAACCTGGATGGTGGGAACTTTCTACAGCTGAATGAAGATAAGACTGAGATCCTCATCTGTGCCCCAGACAAGCTGGTTCCCAAAGTCAAATACTCTATTGGTCAGCTTGCTTCTCACACCAAATCCTCTTTCATGAATCTTGGTGTGACCTTTGACCTAGCTCTCACCCTGGATTCTCATGTCAGTTCTCTTGTACGCTCTTCCTTGAAATTGTACTCACTGACACCCTGACTTTCTTTGCAATTTCTCTGTAGGACAGACCTAGATTTTTAAGTGTTATGATGGTCTGTCTCTCTTCCATTGTTAATTGCCTTTTTCTCACCATTTTTGTAGCAACACACTATTATCTGCTGTACAATACTGTTCAAATGATGCTCACAAGGGTATGATACCACAGTATGTTCCAGCACTGCTTTTATGCAGACAGAGGGGGTTGTAAGTAATCCAGCAAAGTTGGAACACCTGTGGAAATTAGTAGCATGAGCTTTCAAGGCTTGATCAACCTCCATCGCTGCAGAACAGCTGTGTTCCCTGAAAAAGGCCTTTTTGTATAATTCTGAAATGTACATTATTATTTAGTTTTGAGTAACCTTACCTTTTTTTAAACTCTTCACCACTTAACTTTGAATTACCGTATTTTCACGACCATAGGGCGCACCGTGTTATAGGGCGCAGCTTCAGTTATGGGTGTCTTTTTGGTATTTAACACATACAAAAGGCGCACCAGGTTATAGGGCGCGGGCATGGTAAAACGTACCTGTAAAACATCTGTGCGGGCTCGGGACTCGGAACATATCAGTGCAAACCAGACATTGTGAAAATTATAAACAGCCAAAAGAATGCTTCACTTTACTGGTCTAGTCCTGGTTCAGACCTGGTTTAGAGCGCACGTGCACTTCCTCATTGCGTGCGCTGACCGCTCGTGCTCTTCTAATGGGCTCGACACACGGGAGGCAACTTCGCCTCTCCTCCATTTTCAATGAGACATGAGCGACAAAGCGATAATCGCGGGTCTCCCTCCTACTAAAGCCGGGCGTACACCGAGAGTGCTGCAGGAGGACACACAGGGATTTATGGGGGTTGGATGAGGAAAACGAAATAAAGTAAATCTGTGTTTTGTGATCAGTTTAATTTGACATGAACACGACAAACACGCTTTCTTGACAGCTTTTGTGAGTAAAAAACGTGTAGAAACAAAAACGAACAGTGTGTGTTATTAGGGAAATAGCGGGCGAGCAGTGTTGATGCATGATTGCGCTCGCTGCGCCGCTTCAAGCGCTGATGCGCTGTGTTTAAGTTCAGAATGTGTTTACCGGTAGTTGGTGGATTTAACCACATAAACTTTCCATATGAACAAAATCATATGTGTGTAAAAAAACGTGTAGAAATAAAAACGAACAGCGTGTGTTTGAAACACTTTTCTTACTCAGGGAAATAGCGGGAGAGCAGTGTTGATGCATGGTTGCGCATGTGCCGTGAGCGGTTCTGGTACTTTTTGGGTCGCAGCTGCTCGCAGCGCTGCTTCAAGCGCTGATGCGCTGCGTTGAAGTTCAGAATGTGCTTACCGGTAGTTGGTGGATTTAAACTTTCCACATGAACAAAATCATGTGTGTATTATTAATAGGCCTAAGAAAATAGTGTGATTTGAATTGTGTTTTATTAATCCTCTGGGGTCCATGGACGTGTATCTGCGTCTTTTGAACAGGTCTGATTTGGGATGCTGAAGCAGCAAGACTCCACCTCCCTGAGTTTCGGTTTCAATTCAGCTTTAAAAAGGAGATTATAAACTACACCCCAGTTTTTAGATTTTGTTAATAGGCAACGTAAAAGCGGAGTTATACTAAACTAAAAAACTACCTATTTTTAGACACTCTGATAACTTGTCAAAACAGCAGTTTAGTAATCCGTGAGAGGGAATGTGCTTGTGAACATAAAAAACCCCACAAAAACATGAGATCCTTTTGCTGTTGGTGGAAGTCTCACATATTCAATTGATAAAAAGTATCATTATGTAGCTGGGAGAGAGAGAGAGGAAGGCTGCACGAGCAACGAGATGTGCGTAAAAAGGAGCTGCTTCGCGGGGAAAGGAGTGGCGGGAACAAAGTAACAACAAACAGTTAGACAGATGTTGACGGTAAACTTCATATCTTGGAGCGATCCAGACAGATATATTGTCGCTGCAGTTTAGAAGGCTTTTATTAGGCTTATATAAAGGATGATGAGAAGGATAAATGTCCACCAGGCAGTTCAGATAGTACGGCTGTTTTTTGAACTGGAAGCAGAGGAAGTGGACGGAGACTCACAGCCGGAGTCTGAGGCAAATAGCGAGGATGTTGATGACGATGTGGCAGATCCACAGGTCTGTCTTCGCTCACGTCCGCACGTTCACACCACGCCCCTTGTCTTCTACTACGTTTGTGTCTAACAACAACACAATAGGCGCACCGCACCATAGGGCGCGGCGTACATTTTGGAGAAAATTTAAGACTTTTAGGTGCGCCTTATGGTCGTGAAAATACGGTACTTAAACTGCAATTAAATAACTGGAAAAATTAGGACATTCAAAAACTTTTGACCGGTAGTGTATATCTGCACTTATACCCTCCATTTACAACAGTAAAATGAGTTCTAGAAAGTGAGGGACATAGAAAATCACAGCAGGTCAAAATCAAAAGTGTCTTTGCAGAGAATATCTCAGAGATTCCTTACAAAACCAGCGCAGTGCTCGCAGAAAGTGGGTTTCACGTAGGTCGTCTCTGTGAACGTGTGGACGAAACCCATCTTGCAGTTCAGTAGAGAGCTGGCTTTCAGAAAGTAGTCAATCATCTCATCTCTGCTGATCTTCCCATCTCTGTGGAAGAAGACAGAGAGATAAGACTTCCAACTCAGCCTGGCTCACAAAACAACAAGAAAACAGATCAAATAAAGTCATTTATAGACGCTCACCGGTTCTTGTCCAGTTCCCCAAACTTGCTGAGGTAAGGGAAGTTGTTCCTGATTGCTTCAAATTCATCCCTAGAGATATGACCATCACCGTCCGTGTCAAAGTTCTTGAAAACAGACTGCAAATTACAAAATATGTTTTTAAGTTTAGGTGTAAATTACTTTTTCACATAGAACCATTTTTGTTTCCTTAATGAATTAAATTCTCAACTGCATTTTGTATTTGCACAGGTTATCTTTGTCTGGTATTATCACTTATTTGCTGATCTGAAAACCTTTAAGCTAGGAAGTAAAAACCTGTTTCACATAACTGGAAAATGTGAACAAGCAGCAGAAACCTAGCTGGTACTTCACCAAAATGGGACACTTTTACATGTCTCAAATGCTAAAATAAACTGAAATAGCACAGACATCAACTCAACAGGTGAGCTTATGGTGGTGAAGTCGACTGCAGATGGTTCAGCAGCTCATCAGCATGTTTTTATGGTGATTTTTGTTCCATGTGAAATTTTTCTCTTGACTTGCTGATTAATTAACGCTGCGTGTTCCACCCTCACTCTGTGTTATTAATCAAAAGGGTCAATTTTCACCATTGAATTGACACAGCATAACCTTTCATACACGCCAGAGCTGCAAAGTTAAGGTTACACCATCTGGAGGATCCAGACGCACATCAACCTTTTGCTCACTCATTGTTCTTCAACGCAGACATAAATAAACTGTCAAGGTCTCCTGCAAAAGCTCTTCTCTCTGCCCCAAACCACTAGATTCCTCACTCTGAATAAAAGTGAATCCACACGAATCCTACAAGGCTGTACAACTTATACGTTAATTAATCATCATATGGTTGAATGAACAAGGTGTTTAAATGAAATGTTTGAATAATCTGTGCTTAAATCAATGAAGTTGAAATGAATATTGCGCTTACAATGATCCACTGCAGATCTTAAGATCAGTATGTGTTGGATTTAACAAGTTAATCAGTATCTACACTCATTCACATCTTCATAAGATACAAATTAAGGTTAAGGTTCTCCTCACATAAGTGTTTTAAGCCATTCTCATTCACAGTGATAAAAACATTTTTGTATCTGAGGAGGACGTGGCTTTCTGAGGGATGTCGGTAAATACTCAGAAACTTGTCAAATAATGATGGGCCAAACTTGGCCAGAAATCATAACAAAGTAGTTTAATAAAACAATAATTACTTCCCGAGTAATTCAGTTTCTAACGGAGTTCCAAACCGGCCAATTCGGAACAAGCATCCTTGAGACATCTCTTTTGACATACAGTCAAAAACCTGTTTGCACGCTGCAAGCTGACATAGCCAGACAGCTCCCTAAGAGCCACATCCACTTTGGACTGGGCCCTGAACAAGTAAAAGTAACTATAATCTTCTGATTAAACTTCCAAGATCAATCAGGTTGATATTTCATATTTATATGGAATTATCACACCTTATTGGTCGTAATTAATTTGCAGTCGTCATGCTATAAAGTGTGACCGCTACACTCTGCCACCTGTATTTGTGCAGATATACATTGTTTCTTTGATTCCTTAAAGAGGGACTGCACAACATCAGAAAATGTAACTCCACCCCTAGTCAAGATTTGAAAAATGCTATGAAAGTGGGCATTGCCAGGAGGCACAGAGTGGCATGGCCAAGTGTGGGGAATTTCCATCCTGAGAGGGAGGGGGAGTGGGAGGAGACTGTACCGACTATGTGAATTTGTACCAGCCCCAGTCAATCACAAGTTTAAAATGCAGTAGCCGCTGTTCTGCCACAGGGGGCAGCAATAAGACGTTTTAGACCTAGATTCCAGATTTAATCAAGTTTACACAAACAAGTCAAAAACTGCACAGAAACAGGAAGATTGCCTTTGTAAAGACCCAATTATACAGTTAAGTAGAAAAAAAAGTTATTTTGGAGGTTACTTACACTTTAAAGCTAAAATTAAAATAAAATAATTTAAAATGCATGTTAGGGTTTGTTTAAAGATCATTGTTTTTTTTAATTCTGTACCTTATAAACTTTTCTTTTATCTGTTGCTATATTAAACCGATAACTAATTTAGGTTGGAGTAAAAAGTCATCAGGTTTGCATTACAGCTGAAACACCTGAAATGTTTTGCTGTACAGGTTGTCCTGATCAAACTGCATAATGTGACACTATTAATCAACCAATCAAACTGTACATATTTATTTTAAATTAGCAGAGATTCACCAAATAAGAAAGCGAATTACATATTTTATCTTCCCAGCTTTAGTGTGAGATAACTAACTGTTTCTAGCAAAGACAAAAGTGTAGAGGACAAGAGGAGATAATGATCCATCCTTATTGTTCCACTGTCTCAATTAATCCTAAGAGTGGGTGATGGTGAGGGGTGTCACTCACCTCCACCATCTTCTCTATGTGTTTCTTGATGATTGTCGGGTCGGCGCTGGGCTTTACTGATATGGCCCACTCATCAATCATGGTGGACTTGGGTTCAGGAGCAGGAGTAGGGCTCGAGTTCTGCATCAGAAAAAAAAAACTAAAATCAAAATGAGATGTAGGGTTCCACAAAAATAAACAATAATGAACAAGAGTCTGCTTCTAGACCTGCAGAAAGAGAAAGAAGAGAAAAAAATGGGACACACACAACAATACAAAACAGGAGCAAGCTATCACTGCGTCAACTTGAAGAAATATACAATCAGCATTGTTTAACTGAACAATCGCATGATAATAAATCAGAGTGCATTTAGTTGCAACAACAGCCTTGAGACATGTGTTGAACATGCCCAAGCCCATACTTATGAGAGCACCATGTGAGCACCTGTGTGTGTACACGTGCTTGTTTATGTAAGGTTTCTCTATAAAAGCGTCCAATAGAGAGTGTGAGGGACCACAGATCTGCCCCCAAAGATTTGTAGGAGATGGAGGGAGCTCCAAGTCCCAGAGATCCAGGCGCTGCCCTAGAACACAGGAACCCCAAGGAGATTGCAACCAGAAAGGCCCCCACCCCCCTCGAGAGGCACAGAGGATCGCCCTAGGGGGCCACAACCAGCAGCAGGCAGAGTCCCGGGAGATATCAGCGGCAAGCCCACAGGCCCACCCGCAACCTACCACCCCCTAGCCGGCCGAGCCCAGTACCCAGCGACTCGGGACCCAGGGGCGACCACCCCTGCCGGGGACCCAGCAGAGCCCAGGGACACAGACCCCACCAGACAGCCACCGGGATTGAGCAGGCAGACGCCAAAAATCTTAAACCCCCTGACCCGAGAGCCACGAACATTCAGGCAGACCAAGGCATCGCACTCCACACCAGGTGTGACAGGGGGACGGGAGATGAAGATCTATATAATGGGCAGCTGTGGCTACATCGTAGCTCATCCCCACCAGTGTGTGAATGTGTGTGTGGATGGGTGAATGACTGATTATGTTGTAAAGCGCCTTGAGTGGTTCCATGACTCTAGAAGGCACTATATCAAATACAGGCCATTTACCATTTATATCTTTATCATCAAAAGAAGCCCCAGGAGAAGGGAGGAGTCAAAGGCCCCACCTGACATATACAGTCATACACAAACACAGTCATACACTCCCTCCCTCATGCTCACACATACACATACAACCAAAGAATTACAAAAATGCACGCTGGACACCCACTCATGCTCCCCATACACACCCTATTCACTCTGGTCCCGGTACTGCTGCACATGGGGTACAACCATTACCGGTTACCAAAGTTTGACCCTTTCTGCTGGGGTGGTGATGAGCAGGCTCCCCTGCCCAACGCTGAGCACAGCAACCCACCACCCCAAATCCCAACCAGATGGCCGGATCTCCCTGCTAGCCTCCAGCCCCAGGAAGCCAAGCAACAACAGAGGTGTGCTAAGACCCCTAGTCTCCCTCCGCCTGGTCCAATATAGTGTTAGTGTGTGTTGATGAGGTGTATTCCATGGCTGTGGTGAGCGGGCAGTGCGGGCATTGTCTGGCCTATGCGAGCTGATGCCACCGCACCACCCCACTTGCACCCACAGCCCTCTGTGTCTAAGTGCAGTTTAAAATTGGCACCGGCACTTGGGATGAGGCTGAGAAATCCCCCTGCCAAATGCCATTGGATGTGCTCACTCTCAAGGCCCTAAGTGTATGTTTGTGTGGAATGTCGTTGGTGGAAGTGTTTAACCCTTTGATGCATGAATTATGAAATCTTCAACCATGATTTTTTAAACAATTTTTTTCATTCATCTTTAGGTGTGAATGAAACAAATGTCATATTTACATATTTTTTGTAACATTTAATTTACAGATAGTTTATTACATGTCCACCTCAGTGGACAGCGTGCATTCTGAACATGAAATATGTTGGCTTGACTTACTGAAGTCGAAATGGAGGGGCTCAAATGCAATAAAGTCTTCAACAGCTGTGCTTAACAGCAAAAATAAATAAATAACAATTTTGAGTACCTGTTCACTGTAGTGACCATTATGCATCAAAGGGTTAAGGTGCAAACAAAATTGGGGGGCAGGTTGCCACAGGAATGCGGAAATGGGGTCCATACCCGCACTCCCTGACTTGTCCACCCCCCAAGGTCCTATGTGCATGTTTGTGTGATGATGTGAGGGAGCAGGAGGAGAAAAATATGCGGGAATGGGGAGGAATGGCTGGTTGGGCTTAGCCCTCGAGGGAGCCAGCTCCCCCACTGGCCCCAATAGGCACCTCTGTTGTCAAAATGCCACCCAGGGCATGGAGACCCCAGCCCATCCTGCCAGGGCCCAAAGCAGCAGCATTCCAGAGCCTCACGGAGTCCGAGGGCACCAACCCAGCCCCACCCCAGCAGAATATCTACGCCCATCCCTGCATTTGCACCACTTCCATAATATATAAGATATAGGCCATCCAGGTAAGGTTGGGTCTTCCCCCTCCTGGACCTCCCCCTCCCCTGTGATGGGACAGCAGAGGAGCCAAGGTTTACCCGAGGCCCCTGAACCCGCACCAGGCACTGCTGCATGTTCCTGCCTTCTTCCTGGCAGCATACATGCTTAAGGCCTCGCCCAGATCCCCACACGGGGCCGGCAAACCCCCACATCCCGAACCCCCTGGCCTCCACCCAGACCCGCCCAGGGGCAATGCAGCCGCCAGGCCAAGACCTCCAAGGGGCCCCACTCACAACCGCCAGTAGTCCACCCCCCGAGGCAACCCAAGCACCTCCATAGTGGGGCAACAGCCCCCCAGTCCCAGACACCCCCAGTGAGCCCACCTCCAGGGAACATCCGGATACTCCTAACTCAGACCCTCCACCCCCTCACCCACATCATCCCGCAGGACAATATCAATGGTCCCCCATCATCGCTATGTGATGGAACCGATCAAAGGAGCCCATAGAGATTCATTTGAAGTGGAAGCAGAGGCTAAATGAGGTGTAATATGATCTAACAAAAGATTTCTATACTGGTTAATGCAGAGAGTTTCTCTATTTTTCCAATTCAAGAAGATAGTTTTCTTAGCGATGCATATGGCAGTCAGAACCACGTGAACCAAAGATGTTTCAATCGGGACATCATCCAAGTTTCCCAGTAAACAGAGCGAGGGGGAAGTTGGGATATGACATTTCAGACACTTTGGCAGATCTTCACAAACTCTACCCCAAAATTCCTGGACAGGTGGACAGGACCACAATGTGTGAATATAATTGTCAGGAATGTTGTTTGTGCAGTGTGTACAGGTGTCAGATGACACAAAACCCATCTTGAACATCCGATGACCTGTATAGTGTACTCTGTGTGAAATTTTGCACTGAAATAATTGTAAACTGGGGTGTCTGATCATTTTAAAAGTTTTTAAACAAGTTTGGGACCAGAAGTTCTGGTCAAAGCTGACTGATAGATCCACCTCCCATTTTTCAATAGGGATTGCAATTCTATTGTCTATTTTGGACAGTGTCTTATATACTTTAGACATTAGTTTGGGGGGTTTGAGATTATAGAAGTCTAATACCCTTGGTGGTGTTTGTAATTCTATTTTATTGAGCTTAAACTTTTGTTTGACTACAGATTTAATTTGGTGATATTCTAAAAAGCTATTCTTATCCATTCCAAATTGGGAGATTATTTGATTAAATGGGATGAAGTCCAATCCTTCATATATGTGTTCCAGGTATAGGATCCCTTTATTTTTCCAGTCCGGAAGGTTCATCATTTGGATATTTTGCAAAATATCAGGATTATTCCAGATAGGTGTGCATCTGCATGGTACTAGTGAAGACTCTGTCATTTTTAGATACTCCCACCATGCTGTCAGAGAGGTGCTGATACTAATACTTTTGAAGCCTTCATGTTTTCTTATGCTTGAGCTAATAAATGGTAAGTCTGAAAGCTCTATCGTATTGCAAAGTGTCTGTTCTATGTCTAACCAAGACTCACCTAGTGGGTTATCTTGCAACCATCTTGGTATATATTGCAGCCTGTTGGCTAAGAAATAATGATAAAAGTTGGGTAAATCCAGTCCTCCTCTGTCTTTGATCTTCTGAAGCGTTTTTAAGCTAATTTGTGGAGGTTTATCCTGCCAAATGAATTTAGTAATTGAGGAGTCCAGAGATTTAAACCAGTCAGCTGGTGGTTTGTTTGTTGTTTGGGATAATCAAAGATAAGTAATTTATTCTGGGTAAGACCGGGGGGTGGGGGGGAGTGGGGATGATAACTTTTCCGTTTAGGTGTAATTAAATGCTTCAAAGTGTCAGAGCTAGTGGCTTGCTCCAGCCTGGGAAGGCCTCAGCCTCAAGTTAGTTAGATGCTTAGCCATTTCAACTCTGAACTTTAGTTGTGTCTTCTGTGTGTTCATGCTTGGATGTTAATCATGGATTTATTTTGACAAAGAGGGCAAGCAAGTATGCTTCTTTTTTATCAGTAGGTAAATTTATATTTCAGTACTTTTTTTTTGCTGTTGAATGAGGGAAAATGCTGTGTATTTAACATAACCCTGCTGGCTGTTTACCATGCTAGCAGAGTCTCAAAAACACAGAAGGAGATGGAGTAGTACCTGAGTGATGCTTCTGACAGGCTGACAACACTTGGAAAGTTGTACACATCTTTATTAGTGGACTAAAATTTGTTGCACGAATAGTGTACTAATTTGGAAACTAGAAGCTGCAGACAGAACATCAGAATAGTTGGCATTGCAGAAGGCACAGAGATTAACAATATAGATTTTGCAGCTAATTTTCTTGTGGCCGTCCTCAGAAAAGACAGTTTTAAGTCCCTTATTGTTATTGATCAAGCATATTCCCAAGCCACATAGCAATGTCCGAGGGCCATCATTATTTGACTGCATTACTACTCAGATAAGAAGATCCTGAGGCAATCTCGTAATAAGGGCAGCTTTACACTTTGAAGGGTCCCTGTTTTTTATCTTCCCCGATATGATAGGGCTGGACGATATAGAATGATAGTATATCGATAAAAAAATTATATTGATTCATACTGATAATTAGCTCATCCCCACCAGCGTGTGAATGTGTGTGTGAATGGGTGAATGATGGATTATGTTGTAAAGTGCCTTGGGCAATTAAGGCACTTAACAACATAACTGAGAGTCCCCGGAGCCATGTAAAAACAGCAGCAAATACGAGGTCCATCCTGTCCCAAAATAACCCTCAAACTTCTCAGCCAGACCACTCCCTTGGCCTCTACCCAAGAAAGACAGATCCACCTCTGGGTCCAGTAACAACCATGGTGGAACATCCAGCCAGAACAAGGGTGAAACCACAGGCCAGTCCAGGAGGCCCAACCTCTCCGCTTGTCCTCTAAGCCTCTCAAGAAAGCCTCCTCGCCTCCTCCCGCCATCAAACTCCCAGTGCTCCATCAGTAAATCCAACGCCACAGCAGAAACCCAATTGCCCTTTGTCCTCAACAGGTAACACAAACCCAACTTAACCTGACGATACTCAAGTGGCATTTCACCCACCTCCACCTGAAGCGCCGGCACAGAAGTAGAACAAACGGCCCCGCTGCATACCCTTAATGCAGCCATCTGCATTTAGGGTATGCACCGGGGCTAACACAGTTGGACAAAATTAATGCACAATTGTGGTTGGCCTAAATAGATAACAGATAATATGATATCAACCATATATTACCATGCATTACTTTATTTGAGTATTTGTTAAGCATAACACAATGTTGTTTTTTACCAAGGCAAGTTCTGTCATCATCTGGGTGTCACGCTGAGGGTTGGAGGAGTAGGACCCAAAGCGCAGATACCCAGAATGACACGAGGCAGGAGAGGACATAAAATTAAACATCTTTATTAAGATGGTGAGTCCAAAAGAAAACCTAGAGAGGCACGAAAGCCAAAAAAAATCCTAGTAGGGCAGAGCCAAAGAAAACCTAGTGGGGCCTGGAGCCAAAAAGCCTGGAGACCTAGAGATCTAGAAGAAGGGGGGAACAAAACAATGCCGACACAAACAATTAACCACCAACACTGAGGCCCTGTCCACACGTAGCCGGGGATCTGCCAAAACGTAGATATTTTTCTACGTTTTGGCCTGTCATCCACATGAAAACTGAGTTTTTTCACACGAAAACGGATCTTTTTAAAAACTCCGGCCAATGTGAAGATCTGTGTTTTCTCCGTTTTGGGTGTCTGCATGTGGACGGACAAAACCGGAGTTTTAAGATCCGCAACGTCACTTTCCGCGACAAAAAATGCTGACATCACGTGTGTTTACACTAGCTGGCATCATGGAAGCCCTCAGAGCTGTGCTCTGTCACTACCCGACCCATCAATTGTCCAAGCGCTTTTTGCTTGTTTGTTTTTGCAAGTGGAATTACTGCTCCTTGCGGAAGACCACAGACGAAGGACGAGGTTAAGAACGGGGGAAGTACTGCCGCCTACAGGTCTGTCATGTCCTTAACAACGTATTTATCCGGGTACGTGTGGACAGAGTTTTTTATTAAAACGCGGTGGTGTGGATGCAAGTTTTTGGAGGGGCGGATATTCATTTTTAAAAAACCCCGGCTACGTGTGGACTAGGCCTGAGAGACACAGGCAGGGTTATATACACAGAGGGGAGCAATCAGGGAAACAGGTAGCAGGTGTGTGGGGAGTGTGAGCTGAAGGGATCAGGAGAGATTAATTAACTAAACAGGAACACATTGTTACAGGAAAAGAATGACTGGAAAATATAACTATACAGAGAACTAAAGATAAGATAATTAATAAACCTGAAAACTAGACACCAGACAAAACACTAACCCCAAAATTCCACTATCTCTGCTCCGCTCCACTCCGACACGAACTCCGCAGCAAAAACGGTCCCGTAGTAGTCAATCAGAGCTGTTCCACTACTGCGGCTGTGCGGCGCAGTGCGCCGCCCTCCGTTCCGCCATCTGGCAAAAATAGGATCGATTCTATTTTTGCCGGACGCCGGAGCACCTCCGCAGTCAATGGACAGAAATCACAACCGCCCAACAGGAAAGGGAGCAAGCACAACTTCCGTTATTTCACAATAAATCAATAACAAAAAGCGTTTTTTTTGTTTCTTATGCACAGGTTTAACAACTTTTAACAACTATCAATGGCGGTTGAACTTTAAATGCACAAAAATAAGCCATAAATACAGTTTCTACTTTCAAAGTAGTCACCCTTTTTTGATCCAAACACTGCTGATCTCTCAACACAAATGATGGGCAGATTAAACAGTTCATTTCGATGCTTCTCCCACACAATGGGTGTTTGGATCTAACTTCCGCATTTATTGCTCGGACTGTATCGCAAGATCTCGAAAATCCCGCGAATGCCTGTTTGCGCACCTCAGGTCTCTGCACCGGAGCAGAGCCGTTGTAGAGCGGGTATAGTATAATTTGAGTTCGGAAGCAAGCGGCAGCGGAAAGCGGGGGCGGAGCGGGGATAGTGGAATTTTGGGGTAAATCTTCTGCTTGGGGAACTAAAGAGACAGGAACCAAAGAGAGGGGATCTATGGGGAGACTAGACTAACTTGGGTGGGATAACTAATTATAAAGTGGCCAGGGGGAAACATGAGGGAAACCTGGAAGGGGCTGGAGATCACAAGGAGCGCAGGACCTGAGGAGACACCTGGAGGGAGAACAGGAGGTGGCTGGGGACCAAAGGGACACAGAACCTGAGGGTACACCTGGAGGGAGAACCTGGAGAGGGCTACAGACAAGGAGACACATGAGGAGGGATGCAGAAAAGGAGACACAAGGAACACAAGGAGACACATAAGGGGATCCTAGAGGGGGATTGAGAACACAAGGAGACACATGAGGGAGATGCAGAACGCAGACCACGACACTGGGAAATATACATTTTTCCAAGTACTCCCTGTAATACGCTGTAATGGACCACTAGGGGTAAGCGTACTCCTGGTTTGGAATCACTGGTCTAGGGTGTGGTCAGTTCCTGGTGGGCAGTCACCCGGATTGGTGGTATGCTTGTGGGGAACCAGAAATGGTGTCCCATGTCCTGCTGTACTGCTGACGGTATGTGAGAGAGACCGGTGCACCCTTTTTAGGTTATTGGGGATGTGGGGTGACTGTGTTCAGCCTCAGGACATTTTTGGAGGCACAGGACAGCCGGCGGGTGAAGTTGCGGTTGGACTTCTTGCGTGCTGTGGGGATGTACGACCGGTTATAACGGGAAGGTCCGTGTTTTTAGTGGAGGTGGCAGCAATATGCCTTTCAGGCGTCTAATATGCTACTTTTCTCAAAGAAGAAGAAGAGGTGAAGGCTGTACTGCTGTTCAATACTGATGTCATAAATGACTCAGTGCTTTTGACTGCTTCAATTTGTCACACAAGTGCAGTTAATAGATGTTAAAAGCAATTAAGCAGCAAACTATTATAACTGGTTATGACCTTAAAGGCAGTGAAAAGGTTATTTCATTCCATGAATTGAACAGTAAGGAGGACAACCCTTTAAATTTTGTATTTAATGGGGAAAAAATGTTGCTTTTAGAGACACAAAATTTATTTTATAGAATTTTTTCATGTTCATTTTACGATAAATAATGTTTAATTTTTCAAGTAAAAACATTTTCTCCTACAGTAAAATACTGGCTTCAGTACCATTTGGACCATGAAAAGAACAATAAAAATACCTTGTTACGTAAAAGAAAAACTTTGCCCGCATTTTTACATTACCATTCCAGCAACCCCAGCTGCTAGCTTTTTATTGTAAAATCTACATTTTCTTTTGACAGTGTAGAGTGGTTTGTTAACAGGGTAAATATGATCCAACCTCAAGCCACCACAGAAACCATGTTTGAACCAAATGGCCTGCCGTAGTCAGGTTTATGTTGCTTTCCTAATGCAGGTGGGCACACAAACATAACTATATAAATGGCAAATGGCCTGCATTTGATATAGCGCCTTTTAGAATCCTGGAACCCCTCAAGGCGCTTTACAACACAATAAGTCATTCACCCATTCACACACACATTCACACACTGGTGGGGATGAGCTACAATGTAGCCACAGCTGCCCTGGGGCGCACTGACAGTGGCGAGGCTGCCGAGCACAGGCACCACCGGTCCCTCCAACCACCACCAGCAGGCAAGGTGGGTTAAGTGTCTTGCCCAAGGACACGACAACAGCGACAGACTGAGCTGGGCTCGAACCTGCAACCTTCCAATTACGGGGTGAGCACTTAACTCCTGTCCCACCGTCGCCCCCACAGACTATCCATTATCTTCTAGCTAGCTGAAAATAAAGCAATCAATGATATTAATTCACTGAATTTTTTCATCTCTGACTTATATAAACACTGATTAGTTCAAAAAGTTCATAAACAGTTCAGGGAAAGTGGATTAGACCAGGTTATCAGCAAGCTCATAATCAGAACACACAACCTTATTCCTGGATTTACTTCTGGTACTATGGAAGTGTATGTGTAACACAAATCATTTTATTATGCAGTAGCAGAAATTATATTTCACTTTCATATTACCACTGCCAAATTTGACTCATAACTAAAATTCATAAGCAATCTTCCAAACTGCTTTTTAATTTTCTTTTCCATCATTGCTTATTCTGTGACTTAATGCAAAGTATAATGAAAAAAAAATAAGATTTAATTTTCAAATAACGCTCCAGCAAAAGTGTAACAAAATTCAATTTGAAGTGTCAAATTTGAAAAATAAACTTTAGCATTATATATATATATATATATATATATATATATATATATATATATATACATACATATAGTTTGTTAAAGGTATACACAAATTAACTGAAACTCAACTAGTCTGTTATTTGTAATA